TATTTGGATTGATTAATAAATGATTTTATTGTATTTTTCAGTTGTAAATTTATTATCGTTTTAGAGCTTACATTTGAGATTGTTAAATTCATAAGATAATTGTGTGTGTGTGTGCTTTTTACCGAGTGTCATTATTATTAAATTTATTTTATTAGCATTTTAATGGTATTCTAAGGGTATAATTTACGCGGTATGTTTTAGAAGGTAAGACTCACGTTGCATTCATCCGGTTTATTAAATGGAGTACCCAGATATAATTGACCTTTGTAATAGGATCTATGGTATTATACTTAAAATCAGTCAAGTGATTGACCGTGTCAGGATTTGTCATCTGCAAAGAGCAAATATTTCTATAAAATGAATTGTGAAGAAATCTAACATAAGCTTATAAATTTGATGTTATTCTCTTTTTTATTATGATGCTTGTAAATGAAATATCTGATTATATATTGTTGATATAAGTATGTTTTTTTGTGCAGTAAACGAATATATATTCAAGGTACCACGATACAAGATTTAAGAGCCGACTGCTGAAGATTCCTTCTCCGTGCCGAAGCCACGTCGAAAGTATTCATTCGTAAACCATTCTTAATCGTCCAGTTTCCACGATTTTCCCATATTACTGTTCGTTGTGGACTTGGACGATACACAGACGTCAGCTGAAGAACATCATCACCGAACCGTTGAGCCAGGACCACGTCACTATCAGGATAGACTGCTAGATCTTCAAAGATCTCTAAGTTATCATACGTGGAAGTGATGTTGATGTTATCAATCGTTATTCTTCGATCCTGAACGAGTAGCCATTTTGTCGGGGCGACGAACATTCTTTTCGAATGCGCCTATTGCGTAATGTTAAATAAATAATTAACTAATTTAAAGATGACAAATAATTAGATAGTTTTATAGAAGACGAAAGAATTTCTTATAACTCATATATGCTATTAGTTCGTGAGATTTCGTAATCGTTTTCCTTTTATTGACAATATATTGCAATTCAAACTCATTAAACAACTATGACTAAACATTGTAATTCTGTAAAATAAAAATTTTAATGTTGATAAGTAAGTAATGACGTGAAAAGTCTTTATTTTTTCAATCCTTTTAATCTAAAAGATAAAGTTTGTATTTGTCCATGTGTCTATAAAAGTAACCCCACATTTTAAAAAATTTTATCAATATTTTATTTACATTCTACAGCCTCCTTATGATATATAATTTTTTAAAATAATTTTGTTTATATTTAAAAAAAACACACAAAAGTAAGACAAGTAAATGAGAATCAGAGCAATAATTAGTACGCAAATTATAATTGTCAATCAATAAAATTTAATCTCACAAATAATTCTTCAGACGTTTCGAATATTTATACATTCTTAGTAATACAAAAGACGTAAAATGAGAACTCGCTCTGGTCATAGTGCATATATTCAATAACTAAACGCGAGTTTTCATTTTACATGGATTTCATCACTGACAATAGCTCAAAAAATAACCGAAACGTCTGAAGAATTATTTGTAAAATTAAATTTTATTAATTGACAGGTATAAATTATGTACTAATTACTATGCTGATTTTTATTTGATGTTTCACTTGCATGTTTTTTTTATATCGAAAATCTTAATAATGTTATTCTGTTTATACTTTTAAAAAACCCTCATCTGAAAAATATAAAGTACTAATTTCTCACTTCTCTTTATATTCCAAAATAGGTAATAATAATTGCAATGAATATTATCACATGCCTTGGTTGTCGAAGAGCCTAAGGCGCCCGCAAAAATTTCTTAACATTTACATTGCGTCGCGGGGGAGGGAGGATTTTATTAGATGCCAGTGTGCATCAGTACTTATTAAATTGATTATCAATTTAATAACGTAATAATATTGTTTTGTTTCAAGCAAAGTGCTGCGTTGAGTCCTAAAGTAACGGCACGCAGTTCTTTGAAACTAGAATATGTATATAAAATTCACACTGAAATATTAGAACCATCACTAATTGTAAAATTCTATAATTCTTAAAGAATTTCTTTAACTTTTTATATGTTTTATTCATAATTCCAGCCTTTAAACTTTTTATAATAAATTTTTAACTTCAGCATTTTAACCTCTGGGCATTTTGTAAAATGTGTGATTAATATATATTTAAAAATATTTAAAATGGCTGGAATCACTGAAATTTTTTGAGAACTGTTGAATTTTTAGTTTTTTTTTTTTTTTAAATAGGTGTCACGGAAAATTAACATCTCATATCTTAAGATGTCTTTTTTAAATAAAATCAATGAAATTATTTATGAAAACTATTAGCAACTATTGATAAACTTTCAATTTTTTTAGAATAAAATGCCATTTTCAAAGACGGTATTTGTGCTCACAATTTATTGGCAATTTGGTACCTGTCGTAAAATTTCGATGGCATAATCGCAGTGTAAATCCAGCATGTACAGATTCTGATGTTTCACATTGTTGAAATTTCTTTCTTCAAGATCTTCGACGAAGTTATAAATGCCATGTGTCAAATAACGTCTCGACATTTCCCTCGATAATTCAATTGTGTCATCTGAAAGAAAGAAAATAGTAAATTAAAATTATTTAAACTTCTCAAATAAAACAAAAGTTGTCATAGTTTTATATTAGCAATATAATGATAACTTTATTATATTAATTCCATTCTAGAATATAAAAAAGTTTATATAATGTTATGAATTCAAATTAAAAAACATATCTTTCTCTCTTTCAAAATTTACTTTATAATTTATGATTAGTTTTAATTATTTTTTTAATCCGCATATTTTTCAAGTCTTTCAAAACAAAACAAAATTATAAATTCGAAAATCTTACCATAGCTGATGCATGTATATAAAGATATCCTCGATGGTGAAAATAAAACAGGCGTCGAATCAACGATAAATTGTAGGATTACATCGTCAATTCGACGAGA